TTAAATGGTAGGTGGGACTAATTAAATGGGAAAATATATTAATTGTTTTAATTTTTAAATATAAATAAAGTAAAATTAAAAATTAAAGAAGTTTTTAAATTATTTAAAATTAAAAAAATCCACATAATCATTTTTTACATGATGGATTTTCCACCTAATATTGAAAATGTAAAATAGTCAATCACTTAGCGAAAAAATTAGCTACATCAACATCTAATTGACGGAAAGACAAAATTGAAAATTGAAGTTGAAGGATGTTTTCGATATTTTCTAAAGTTCAAGGATGAATTGGTTCAAACATAAAAGTTGAGGGACTACTTTAGGTATTTAACCTAAAAAAATATGTTAGCTGAAGGCAGCATTACCACCAATTAATCCTTAAATAAAAAAAGTTGAAAGTTGATATTTTTAAATAGAAAAAGTTGAAAGTTGACATCTTTAAATAGAAAAAAATTGAAAATTAACATCTTTATTTAGAAAATAATAAAGTTTACATCTTTAAATAAAAAAAAGTGCAAAGTTGGAATCCTTATTTGCACATTTACTCCATTTCTTTACTTTTAAAATTTTGGATTCAAATGGTATTTTTTAATATGGATTGTACTTGTTTTATATATAATTTAAATATTGAAATTATCAAAACATTCTCAACAAAACTTCTCTATATTTGTTTATTAATAGTGTGTTTTTGTAATTTCAATTTAAGTTTATCTAACTTGTGTCTTATGATGCAATAAATACTTTTTTTAATTAATTCACATTAAAATTGTAAAAATTGACATATATTTTAATATCACTAACACGTAGATGATATTAGTTGATTAATTGATTAAATTAAAGTTAATATTTATATTTTAATAAAAATTAATTATAAAAAAATATATTTATCACACCATTATCTTATACTCTTATGACACAAAATAGAAAAATCCTTTTAATATATAGATTGTACAAAAAAAAATCAATTTACATTGGAAAACACTCATCTTTTTTGGATTTAAAAAATAATTAATACACCCTTTAATTTGATACATTTTTCAACATCTACTTAATTTAGTTATTAAAATATAATATAAATATAGTTGATTTAATTAGTTTTTATAAGTTGTACA